AACAAGGACACACACACACACAGTATCAATTACCTTTTGTAATTTTACCAAACCGACATAAAGGCTACAAAGATTAATTCTTGTTGAGATTCATTACAGAGGTGATTACAGAAGAATGCCAAAGATCAAAAGGTTAATGTTTGATTTAAATTTTTTTCCTAAAAATTCAGTCAAAAAGCATGTCTGTTTTAAATAGAGCTGTTTATAAAAAAAACAGACTTTAGGCTACAACAGGTTTCACAATAAAGCATTTAGTTTTTGTGTTTGTAATAAAATATAACATATCTTATTGAGTTGTTTATTGTATTATATAAATATATTTATCATAGAACAATCTGTTGTAATRTATTTTTCTATTGTATTATATGAGTCTCTTATCACACTTATTTTTATTAATTCATTGTATCCTATATACCGGTACTAATCTATGGATGTATTGCATTGTTTTATTTTGTTCTATTGTATTTTTCTATATTCTATCGTGTCAAATCCTACTCTTCTATCATGCATTTTTTAATTTGAGGACATTATTTTGTTCTGATCTATTTTAGCTGATTGTACTTTCACTCAGAGTTGATTTTACTGACACTGACTCATCTCTGTATCTGTAAGCGGTATGTTGCAGTTCTTTAAAGTAGCGACTTCATTTAGCTTTCATGAAGACACTCTGAGCATGAAGATACAGCATGTAGCTGTTTCAGAGCACTCAGCAGAAAAAAACAGCAGTAAGAAGGAGGTAGAGAAGCAGCGACTATAGCCTATTTCAAATAACCTCATTCATCAAAACACACACACACACACACGCACACACACCCCTGTGATTTACAGAGCCTCTTTCTAATTGGTAAATACACCTCAGATCTCCAGTTGTGATTGGCCAGGAAGCCTTCACTGTGAGCCCCGAAGATGAGTTGACCATCTGGCYTGTTCCTCTCTCCAGAGCAGGCTGCTTGCTGAGCCTGGAGGAGGGCCCAGATRACTGGGGACCAAAGCGAAGCACCAGCTGTACTATAATGGGTTAAAGGTTAGGAATCAGGAAGTGATTTAAAAACAGAATATATTATAGCTTTGCTTTCAGCAAGGAGTGGAAAAACCACATTCACGGAGCATTTCATGGCTTATTTGTTTACCAGGAAGCTTTTACCGCTCGCCACTATGCACAAAAGACAATAATGTTAATGCTGACTTTGAGTGCTACACAGTCWTAATTTTCTTGCTTAAAATGTTGCCTATAACTGTTGATGTCAGCTCTGTAAAATATCTCATGAACCACTGGATGGCTTTGGAGTTCTCAGGAAATAATCATTTTATGTTCATCTTCAACTGATTAACTTTTGAAGTCAACCCAAGTAGGGCTGCCACAAACGATTATTTTTTATAGTCGACTAATCACCGATTATTTTTTTCAATTAGTTGAA